TCACTCTCATCGTCCACCTTCTCCTGCTTCATGTCCGACACCGACTTCTTCGTCATCAGATCCAGTTTCAAGTGATGATCTTCCTATTGCATTGCGAAAAGGTAAACGACAGTGTACTTTTCCTGTTTCTTCTTTTATTTCTTATGATCATTTGTCACCTTCATCATGCTTCTTTATTGCTTCCCTTGATTCTATTACTATCCCTAAAACTGTTCATGAAGCCGTTTCTCATCCTGGTTGACGTAATGCGATGATAGAAGAGATGAATGCCTTAGATGACAATGGTACTTGGGAATTGGTAGATTTACCTTCAGGGAAACAGGCTATTGGATGCAAATGGGTGTTTACAGTTAAAGTAATCCAGATAGGTCAGTTGCTCGGTTAAAAGCTCATTTGGTTGCTAAAGGATATGCTCAGAACTACGGAGTTGATTATTCTGATACTTTTTCCCCTATTGCTAAGTTAACCTCTATTCGACTGTTCATCTCTATGGCAGCTACTTATGATTGGCCTTTGCATCAGCTAGATATCAAGAATGATTTTCTTCATGGAGATCTTCAGGAAGAGGTATATATGGAGCAACCTCCTGGGTTTGTTGCTCAGGGGGAGTATGGGAAAGTATGTTATCTTTGCAAATCTCTGTATGGTTTAAAACAGAGTCCTCGTGCTTGGTTTGGAAAGTTTAGTTAGGCTGTTGAGAGATTTGGTATGCTAAAATGTAAAACTGACCATTTTGTTTTCTACAAACGGTTTGAAACTGGCATCATTCTTCTAGTTGTGTATGTGGATGACATTGTTATTACTGGGAGTGATAGTGTGGGCATCACATCTCTTAAGTCTTTTCTCCATACCCAATTCCACACAAAAGACTTAAGGATGTTGAAGTTACAAGGAGCAAACAAGGTATATTCCTCTCTCAGAGGAAATATGTGCTCGACTTATTAACTAAGACAGGGAAATTGGGGGCAAAGCCATGTAGTGCTCCGATAGTTCCTAATGTGCAGCTTACGAAAGATGGTAAACTATTTGGAGATCCTGAGAAATATAAAAGATTGGTCAGGAAGTTGAACTATCTTATGGTGACTCGTCCAGATATTGCATATTCAATCAGTGTTGTCAGTCAGTTTATGGCCTCCCCAACAATTCATCATTGGGCAGCTTTGGAGTAGATCTTGTGTTATTTGAAAAGAGCCCCTGGACGTGGTATATTATATGCCAATCATAGTCACTCTCATATTGAATGTTTCTTAGATGCCGATTGGGCAAGTTCCAAGGTAGATAGAAGATCCACATCAGGCTATTGTGTCTTTGTCGGAGGAAATTTAATATCATGGAAGAGTAAGAAGCCAAATGTCGTCTCACGATTAAGTGTACAGTCGGAATATAGGGCTATGGCACAAGTTGTTTGTGAAATAATGTGGATATATCAGCTCCTGATTGAAATAGGCCTTGAAACTTCAGTACCAGCAAAATTATGATGTGATAACCAATCGGCTCTTCATATTGCATCTAATCTAGTGTTTTATGAACGAAACACATTGAGATCGATTGCCATTTCGTTCGTGAGAAACTACAGCAAGGTCTGATTTCCACTGGGTACGTGAAGGCTGAAGAACAATTGGGAGATATCTTCACGAAGGCTCTGACTGGGATTCAATTTGATTATCTTTGTAACAAGCTGGGTATGATTAATATCTATACTCTAGCTTGAGGGGAGTGTTACAGATGTATATTTGGTAGTTATAGGTTGCATATATTTAGAAGTTAATTTCCAGGATTATAGGAATCACATTGATATTGTATCTTAATATAGATCGATTACATACCTAGTTTAGAACACTGCAAGTGTATATATATATATATTCTTTTTCTTAATGAAGAAGACAAGTAGAATATTCATTCTTAATACTTGTTACAATCTGCAAATATTAAGATAACATTCTTCAACTTTTCTCAAATCTCAAGTATTTCTATCTTAGTAAGCTATGTCATTAATCAATTTCATGATAATGAGTTTTTACAGTAACTATGGTTGCCAAACTAGTAAAAAAAAACACTAGGTTGACTTGACTAGTAGATATTGTGGTCTATCAAGAGCTCAAGACTCGTAAGTCAAACAGTGATCCAGCTCCAGTGGCTGCTGGCTTCTATAGATTGTTTGTCTTTGCTCTCACTTCCATTTTAATTGATTTACTGTTGGCTTTTTCAATTTAATGTATAGCCCTCTAGTAATATTACATTAAATGCATTTTCAAGAGTACAGCAAAGCATCCTCTCTGTGTAGTAACATAACATTCCATTTTGGGAAAAAGAACTGAAAGATGACAGTAGCGATCGATCGTTCTACAACAACGGACATGGGGTAGTTGTGATACTTAAAGAGGTGGAGCCATTTTAAACAGTCATTCTTCTTCCATTTTAACCATACATTCCACCCCTTACAATTTCATTAGTAAAACAAGATTCGGCAAAAGAAAATTAAGCTCTTGCAATTTGCACAGATCTCCAGCAGATTAATAATTAATTTGACAAAAAAATTAACAGATTCTTTCTTGGTTATGGTTAATGAAAGGTATTCTCTGCATATATTTATTAATTTAAAGTAAGATTAAGTAGCTAACAATAAAACGCACTTTATATGGTAGCTAGCTTTCTGAAGAAAAACGTTGCTGTATGGAGCCACCACCATTAAGTTAAAATTGTCGGTGACATTTCCAGAGAATTATAGGTGAGAATGGTGAGCGTGCAGTTAGTGAGGTTAGAACATTTATTTCGAGCTACCTAATGGCTATTTTTTGAGTTTGTTTTTCACCATTCACCATTAGCTTTATGAGGTTTTGTGTGCTACGCTACATATACCTATTGAGTGGATTTTGAGCCGACTCATTAATTAATTGAAGAATATTAGAAAATTAATTTTCTATTAAAATATTAATTTTGGTTCATAAAAGGTAGTGTGTCAAATGCTAAATAACAGGTCAATTAGGGCGTCGATTACTTGTAAAAGTTGATCTTATGCGTACTAATGCAGCTTTTAATTTAATTTTCAGATTTATATATATGAAACTCATTACAGTGACCATATGTATCTTTATGGTTAGAGGTTATTAATCGATCAGCAATAAGTTAATCTTATCTTATATTGTAATCAAAGATATATCTTAGATGACTGAGTGTATATGTGTATAGGATAATATCAAAACTTAATGTTTTGACTTTGTATTATTAATTAATTCATTTTAACTTGTTTTAGGCATGCCTGATAAGAAGTTTAGAAAGTCATTCCAATATTCACTATATACTATATATAACTCCAAGTACGAAAATTGACTGCAATCTTCAATAAACACGTTTACATATGAGAGAAAATTCTCTCATATATTAGGAATAGTTCTTCAAATCTTAATAATTGATATTGCTGATAATTTTTAAAATGATCGTATAATTATAAAAATTTATTATTTTGATGTATAAATGATGTATATTAAAATGATTATCTTAGCATCTTAAGTGCACTGGTCATTCATTAAATTTACTTGAGAGGGTATTTGATTAAGAGAATGTTATATTATTTAGAATGTTATTTAAGAGGAAGATAGATTACCTTGAAAAATTATTGGGAATATTAATAAATGTGTTTGGTTATGAGGAATAAATTAGTAAGTATGTTATATTGATTTGCTTGATTGAGAGGAATAAAAATTGGTGGGTATGTATGTTATATAAATGATTGAATTGCTCTTTTTTTCTTAATATTATTATTACATCATTATTACATTTTAACCCCCTATATTTAAAAATTTAGCTAAAACACCCCTATAATAAAAGTTTAAAATTAATGAAGACACAACTACCCACCCAGCATGTCGGCTACCTAATGGCAAATGGTTAAAATAGATCTGACCGTTTTCGACCACAAATATGACTGAAAATGGTCATATCGGTGCACAGCCGGCCAAATCTAGACCAATGTTGACCGCCGGCAGTGGTGGTTAGATCCTACCACAATCATGCATAATATTTTTCAAGTTCACGAGTGTTTTTGTCTTAAAAATTTTGTATATACAGGTAAAATAGTCTTGGTACACTGTTCATATCCTTTAGTTTCTCCCTTTGAAACAAAGTAGTGTGTTCGACAATGTATAATTTACGCATATAGTATAAAAAGAATTTGCTCAATAGAAACATAGAAAAAGAATTACACTTGGATTAAACTTAACAGACTATGAAATATATATTTCTTATAATTTTTTTTTAAAATATATTAACACTTATGGATTATGCCGTATCTCTAAACCTTTTGATTTTTAGAAATTAGCTTCTCCTTCAAACATGCAAGAGTGAGAGCGACGTGATAACAAACAGTCAAGTCAACAAATATTACAACTCACAGTCAACGGAAAGACGCCATGAGATGGAGGTTTTTGTCTGGCCCAAAGTTGCCGTAACAGGAAAGAATTATAATGCTACGCATATCCATTCATATCCAAATTAGCTTCCAGTTTTACGAATTTCCGTAGCAGTGTATAAATTGAAATTTCAAAACTTCTTGTTTGGATCCAAAGTAATACAATCTAGTTGAATTTTATCCTCCTTGATTCTCTACAGGGTGACATCCGGAGAGTCAACCTATCAAAGTTGTAGTCGCCAAGAATTACTTTTCCACTGATTTTCATTGCTGCAAATTTTACGCTTCTATTTCTTCTGGTGACGCGTATTGAAGCCGAAATATAAATTTTACTCTTACCAGTTCTTGCAAAGGAATACTTGGCATCTGTTAACACTGACCAATAATCGTCCACTTGTTGCTTGGAGGAAAGGCTAAAACAAATATCGACCCTTTCAGCATTGTGTAAGTTTTTGATGCTGGACTTACGAAACTTCAATTGTTTCTCCGGGAAACAATAAAATATACAGATTCGGTCCAACAAAAAGCCAAGTCCGAGAAGTTAAAGAGATAAGATAACAGCGGCGACTCTTAGTGCAACTAGAGCAGCTGCACCTGCATATACATGTGCTGTGTCAAAGTTTTTGACTAGAAAATTATTCTTCCTATGAATCTTTGAAAATTCAGAACTGGATTATGAGAAACAGATCGAAGTCTATAAATATCATATTCTTGAAGAACAAATGCACTTCCTTTCAGTACTCTCTCATTCTCAAAGCTCTTAAAACATAGAACTTCTCTATCTACATATATCTATCTCCCTTTTTCTTAATCTATCACTTTCCTTTTCGCATTACAATCTCACATCATGGAAAGTCCAAAAACGCCCCTACAACCTCCAACTTACGGTAACCTAATAACTGTTCTGAGCATTGATGGAGGTGGGATTAGAGGCATTATCCCAGCAACTATCATTACCTTCTTAGAGTCCGAGCTTCAGGTAGAAAAAATAGTTTACATGCAATACTGGGATAATTTTCTTTTATATTTATCCCCTACCCTAGCCTCCACTCCAAAAATATATTCTTATTATTTACCCATATATACTACATAGTCTTTTATATGTACATAGTACTCTTCTTTACCCAATTCTTGAGAGTAGAAAGCAATGATCTTTAGCTGAATCTGTTTGCATGAGAAAAAAGAGTCAAAACCATATATATATATATATATATATAAGTGTTAATTTTACGTATACTTGTTTGTGTTTATGTCCTGATACTAAGCGTTTGTTTGGTTACCAACAGAAACTGGACGGCGAGGAAGCAAGACTTGCAGATTATTTTGATGTAATTGCAGGGACTAGCACTGGCGGCCTCGTGACCGCCATGCTAACAACCCCAAATGAGCAGAACCGCCCTCTATTTGCAGCCAAGGATATCAAGGACTTCTATCTAACTCACTGCCCTAAAATTTTTCCTCAAGATAGGTAAAAATCTTGTCATAATGAATTATGACCTGGACGTCATGACTGATAACTTTTCTCATCGAACTGTTAATAATAATTGCCGTTAAACTTTCCTTACATGACAGTTGTCCCTTTGCTCCTGCTACAAAGCTGCTCAAATCTTTAACTGGACCAAAATATGATGGTAAATATCTACATAATCTCGTGAAGGAGAAGTTAGGGGATAAAAGACTGCACCAGACGTTGACAAATGTTGTGATTCCAACTTTTGACATCAGGAAACTCCAACCAACCATCTTCTCTAGCTATGAGGTTCGTTTATGCCTCTATTTCCGCCCTCGTGCTATTTTTTTTTTCCAAAGAAGCTGAATTAGAATAACCATTTTAACAATTCACAGATCATGCGTTCTCATACTATATATATGTGTCTCTGTGGTTTAGGTGGCTAAAAATCCAAGTATTAATGCCTTACTTTCGGATATCTGCATTGGGACATCAGCTGCCCCAACCTATCTCCCAGCACATTACTTCGAAACCAAAGATTCAACAGGGAAAGTGAGAGAATTTGATCTCATTGATGGTGGTGTAGCTGCTAATAATCCGGTATATATCATAGATTTGATCTTAAAATTTGAATATTTTGAAATTTTATGGCAAGTTGTTAATTAAGAAATCTTATTCATTTTTTTCTATATTTTCAGACTTTAGTTGCAATCAGTGAAGTGACCAAAGAAATCACCCGGGGGAGCTCAGACTTCTTTCCTATAAAGCCAACGGACTATGGTCGGTTTCTGGTTATATCAATAGGGACTGGCTCACCAAAGACCGAGGAGAAGTACGATGCCCTTAAAGCGGCTAAGTGGGGAATTTTAGGGTGGTTAACAAGTGAAAGTTCCACTCCATTAATCGATGTATTTACCCAATCCAGCGGCGACATGGTTGATTTTCACATTTCTACAGTTTTTAAAGCCCTTCATTCTGAAGAAAATTATCTACGAATTCAGGTTATTAAAGATCCACGTTCATATTGCTACTGCAATCACAGTCATTAGGTTCATATAATAACTAATCTAATTTACGTGTTATGTTTGTTTATCTTGTAAATTTCAGGATGATACTCTAATTGGAGACGAGTCTTCAGTGGATATTGCCACCAAATCAAACTTGGAGAATCTTGTAAAAATTGGTGAAAGACTGTTGAAGAAACCAATTATAAAGGTGAATCTGGAGACAGGAGTCTGTGTGCCTTCTACTTGGGGCACAAATGAAAAGGCTCTCAAAAGGTATATATATATATATATATATAACAAATAAAATTAATTTTACATAGCTATTATCAGCTAGCGAAGGTTTTGTATACTAATTCCTTACGTTTTAATTATTTGTATAGAGTAGCAGAAGTACTTTCAAAGGAAAAGCGAACTCGTGACATGAGATCACCACATGGCCCAAGGGGTGCAACCCGGAAATATTGAACAATAGTGTGAAACAAATAATAATTATGTTCATTTTTTTAATCGTTGCCTAAGGCTGATTATTGTCCTTGTTACTAATTATTCTTTTTCATCCGATTTAATATGAAATTCGTTCCATCAGTTTGAATGCAAATTGATCTTGTTAATTTCAAACATGCACCTTGTTTGGTTACAAAAACAGAGCAGTTTCCAGCTCTCTTAGCTAAACAACTTAACAAGACAAGCTTAATAAAACACTGCGTTTTTATTTACCACTCTTAAGAATAAAACGCTGCGTATCAGTCTTTTCTCAGACATTCATTCTTCACAAATCACAAGTATAATTAATTTACAAGGTACCGTGGTGGAATCAAATTGAAAATGTGTTGCTATTCATTTTTACTTATTTATGAATTATGATGTAAAGATTTTATCTAGGTTGGGCATATATATATCGATCTACGTTAAAATCCTCTTTTGTTTTTTTTGTTTCTATAAATAATTTATTATTATTTGCTCCATAGTTTGAAGCCAAATTAAGATGGCATCTGATTATATATAATTTATTCAGTTATGGGTTTTATTTAGAATTTGTTGGCCTTAATCACATTCTAAACGTTGACCGGTAGGTATTTCATATATCTATCAAGACATGTCGAAATCAGATGACCAAATGGTCCAACTCCTAATGCTTGATTGCTTTTCTGATTGTCATGATCCTAAAATCCAAGGTGCTCTGAAGTGTACCGTAAGGAATGCATGTTTCAAAAGTCCGAATTTGCAATACAGCCATCTTATATAATAGCATAACATCTCCTTTCTTTGGAAAGAGACATGAAATCTTTCTCAAAATTTCATCGAAAAACACTGAACTTGGTAGGGACTCTGGATTTCACGTCCTAATATAATGAAATAAAATGATAAAGAAGAGAATCGGTCAATATTGTCTGGGCACAGAAGTTTATATCAATAGGGACTGTGGATTTCACGTCTGCTAATATGAGACAAATTTAATGAAATAAAATGATAAAGAAGAGAACTGGCCAATATTGTCTGGGCACAGAAGTTTATAATATCGAGTTCTGTGATCCACCAACTTTCCTTACAATTTCATCAACAGAAGAAGTAACGCACACGTATCATTGATCGATATGTTCACTACATCATAGAAAATTAATTAATTAATTGTTTTTCCATGCATGCATCGGTTTGTTTCTTTGTTCTTAACATTCAACTGCTAAACGCAAGAATGTATTGTAGGTGAGATTCCCAGAGAACGTAGGTAAGAATGTGATGCATGTAACTAGGCTTAGAGTTAGGGGTGATGGCAATTTTTTGTTTTTATTACTTCAAATATTGCCTTCAATTGGCTTTTATAAAATGCTGCTTCATTCAAGCGTCTCGAGAATCACTTACTCAGTCTGATAGTCATGTTTCAGAAGGAAAATCAACATTAGTCATTCACATGGCGGAAGCAAATATAATTACGGATGCTTAATTTGAAGAATTTGGATATTATTCAGAGGAGATCAGGAACTTTCGGTACAAGTTCTGCAAAGTCTAGGGGAGGTTGATCTTACCATAATGAGAGTTTAAATCTCTCACCTTGAATTGAAGTGATGACACCATAATTCACTTACATCACAATCTCTTAGAAGTGATCCAGAGAGATTTAAATTTCGTGTTGTTTTAAAAGTCTGAACGGAAAAAGTAACCGACTTTATCAAAATTATGAGGAAGCAGTCAAACATTAGGTTTCATATTTCTTTCCCCAGTGAACAGATGGCTGTTGCATAAAGCCAAATCGATGGATTGACAAAAGAAAGCCAGAAAGAAATTGTGTGGGGACCAAAGTGAGATTAGAAAGAAGACTAAAACACAGCCACTACTTAAGGTGCTGCTGACCACTGTTCCTATATAAGTCCAATCTAAGCCCTTGTTCTTAGGCATAGCTAGAGTGTTTTCTTTTTACTGTATATATATTTAATGAATTGATTGACTTTGTCAAATATTATATATACCTGAGAAACGGCTCCTTGAAACCATACCCGGCTAATGCTATTAGTATTACACATACGATACTACCATTGACTTTGTTAGTCGTCACTACCCATTTTCCAACTCATATTATCTCGACTCTTCAATATATAATTTTACTTCTTTCGTTTTCACTTTAGTATTCAGTGTTCACATCTTACTTCGTTAACCATTTCAGTTCAAGCAACTCAAAGAGAGATATGGCTAGCGATACGCAGAAGAACACTATGTTTATTGAACAACAAGACCCTGAAACATATCATCAGAACGGTGATATTCTCAAAATACTCCAAAATACTTCAACATGGGGTTATATATATATATATATATACTAATTTCGATTTATATAATATATATATATATACTAATTTCAATTTATATAAGGCAATATACATCATGAATTACCACGAGGTAATAAATATAAAAATAAATGGTCACTTAGAGCGACTACTTATACAGGTGGTCCTTATGTCCACTACCATGATTCAATTATATTCAAAGTTGTATTTATCAAATTGTATGCGCGCGATTAAGCCAACGCCCAATGAGAAGACAAATTATTAATCTGTATTTTACACTACCCTCATCATGAAAAAAAGTGTCCTGACTAACAACGCAGTAAGATTATTTTAATTGATAAGAGTAAACGACTTTTTTTCACCAAAATAATAGTTTAATGACACCTTCTCACTCACATACTTTTAAAATATTATTTTATTATCCAAATTTATATTCCATTTTCGATTCGACATTGTTGCGATTCCATACCACCATCATTCTCTTCTCTGATCATCATCTACAAAAACCCCTCAAATCTTACTTCCATCGACTTTCAATCCCCAGCAATCGAGCGATTAGGATTTGCGCAACCACCCTTCCAAGTTAAATTCCGATAAATTTCAACCATCAAAATCTAACATTCCGCCACCAAAAGACTCATAAGCCTCCCATTTTCAAAAGCCCTAACAGCTTAGACCAAGTTTGCTCTCTGTTCGCCACTGGAATATAAATTTGAATAGTAAAATGATATTTTAAAAGTTTATGGGTAAAAAAGTATCATTAAACCATTATTTGGGTGAAAAAAAAAAAGTCGTTAACTCAAGCGATAAATAAAAAAAGATATCTAGTTACGTGTACGGTACATGAGTTGCTGGTGATATGAACAAAAGAAGTTTGTAATGTTACAAGTTATGAATTAGTAACAGCTGTTTAAAATGTGTTAATTAAAGAAACATTTGATTAATCTGTAACAATTGATGTCTAAATTTACATCTTTTGACCGTATTAAGCAGCAAATTAAGGATAATGTCACTTAGGCTTAATTCGCTAAGCCACGTTTTAGAAACTGATAGTATGATGCGTGGACGACGAAGACGATGCCAAGTTTGGAAAAGTTTGCTGCTTTCAAAATTCAAATAAACGCGTTTATAAAAGAGAGGTCTAATGTTTATTTTATGATAAAATATTTTGTTCAATTATTATGTTGACCTTTCTTTACGAGTTTTTCCGAGGAATAGAGCCGCCTTAACTTTTTATGTCCAGAACACATGGCCATGAATACCATGTGAGTGCAACAAATAATTAATATTTGCAAGTTTTATCTGTTCCTAATCCATAAATCTTAACTACTGTTCTTGCTTCAAAATTTTGAAGCTTTCGTCATTCCAGATTCTTGCTATCATCAAGCTGCTCTCACACTAAAAAAGAAAAAGAAAATTCATTTAAGTGAAACATTATCCTCTCAAAGGCTAAGAAAATTATTGACCAATTCAAAAAGCTATTTAGAGTTTCTCCAAATTGAATGTGTGAAATCTCTTAAAGTTGTGTTTATGATACTGAAGATTCCTACGGCCTCAGAGATTGGAACTGTGAATAGTCAATTGTTTTCTTGGACACGAAAAGTTGTTGACCAACAGTCCACCCATGACAAGTTTCAGAATGTACAGAAACAACAAGAGAATAAATTTGGGATAAATAATCTTAAAAGCAGACCAAGAAACTGTTTACTTGGTCAAAGTTAGACCAGAGTAACATTTTCAAACTTTGAAAATTCAGAACTTCACAGAAAAATATGTCTATAAATACCATGCATCGCATGCATTCGTTCTCATCAGCAGTGCGCATACTAAAATCTTCAAAACTTTCATTAATTAATTAAGTACCCTCTCTTTAATCGATCCCTTCGCCTATTCCTTTCTGCATTAATTGCCTTATTAATTTCACATGGAAACTCCAAAATCACCCCTACAGCCTCCAACTTTTGGAAACCTGATAACTGTTCTCAGCATTGATGGAGGTGGAATAGAGGGGTTATCCCGGCAACTATTCTTGCCTTCTTAGAGTCCGAGCTTCAGGTAAAAATGCTCTACAGTTGAAACTTTTATAATTTTATTTATTTATTTTTTAATATTAACTAGAAAATGTTTTGTTATAAGCAGAAACTGGATGGTGAGGAAGCAAGACTTGCGGACTACTTTGATGTGATTGCTGGAACTAGCACAGGTGGCCTCGTAACCGCCATGCTAACAGCCCCAAATGAACAAAACCGTCCTTTGTTTGCTGCCAAAGATATCAAGGACTTCTATCTAAATCACTGCCCCAAAATCTTCCCCCAACAGAGGTATCATCGTGAACTTACATATGAATAAAGAAAGGAAATGATGCTAAGTCATCGATAGTTTGTACATCAAGGACTTATTTTCTCATCATACTTACTAAAGAGGTATATACTACTTTTTGTTACACAACAGTTGTCCCTTCGCTAACGCTACAAAGCTGCTCAAATCGCTTACTGGACCAAAATATGATGGCAAATATCTACATCGCCTTGTGAAGGAGAAATTAGGAGATAATAGATTGCACCAGACGTTGACAAATGTTGTGATACCAACTTTTGACATCACGAAACTCCAACCAACCATCTTTTCCAGCTATGAGGTCCATTTCTAATCCTGCTATTTTCTCTCTGGAGTCTAGAATACAACCGTTACTTATAATTAAAGAAAGGTTTAGGAAGATTTATTATGATATTCAAATTTCCAAAAAAATATTTTTGATGAATTTTAAAACCAACGTGATTTGTGTATAGTTGATTGAATTACTAAAATCTCATTATATATAAATAAAGATATCCTTACATAATTATAATGAACCTATATAGATGGTCCATTTTATGAGATTTGAGAATTAAATAGGAAGACGCAGCATGTCATTTATGGTGACAGGACTTGTACCAACTTAATTAACCTTCCATCATCTATGATTTCATAATTTGAACGGCAAGCCATCTATTGCACATTTGTACCAAACAAGCTAAACATACCATTCTGCTAAATGTGAACGGCGTGTCGTTTATGAGATTGGGATATAAAAGCAACATCTTGCAAGTTACAAAGGCCACTTTTTTATGATGTAAATCAGCCTACTAGTCAACTGCAAATATTAAGATAACATTCTTACAGATGTATATTTGGTAGTTATAGGTTGCATATATTTAGAAGTTAATTTTCAGGATTATAGGGATCACACTGATATTGTATCATAATATAGATTGATCACATACCTAGTTTAGAACACTGCAAATGTGAATATATATATATATATATATATATATATATATAGTCTTTTTCTTTATGAAGAAGACAAGTAGAATATTCATTCTTAATACTTGTTACATGGTATCAGAGCTAATAAAAGGTGATTAGGGTTTAAGTTTCAAATTGAGAACATCATTTTAGAGTGAGATTTGTTCAATACCGCCACCCTAGGAAGATTCAAAAGCCGCCAATTGGCAAAACCTTGAGTTCCGGCAATTAGAATCACTGCGCGTGAGCTCCACGCGCCCCCCGAAGCTCCGATCACCAGTACCATGCGCCAGCGCATGAGCGCGCATCCACCGTTGACGTCTCCTCTGGTTCTCTTCGTCTGCTTCGTCGGCACTTGTACAACACATTTTCATGCTGGGCTTTGGTAATATCTTACTGGTTACTGTTGTTCTTTGTTTGTTTATTGGACCTTTGCTGTGCTTTGGTCTCTGGTTGGATGTGGTTGTTGATTGATTTGGTGTGTCGCTGAAGTTTGGTTAATTTGCTTTGTTTTAACCGTTTGTTGGTGTGCATTGGGATTATTGTTTGTTTAAGACATGTCTGATACAAAGCCAGTGGTAGAAATGATATTGTCAAAAATTACAGAACATAAGCTCGTTGGTATAACTAATTACCATGATTGGCGTAAAACTGTTAGACTGTATTTACGGAGTATTGATGAGGATGATCATATGATTGATGATCCACCTAAGGATAATTTGAAAAAGACATGGCTCCGGGATGATGCTCGATTGATTCTACAAATATAGAACTCTATTGACGGTGAGGTACTTGGCCTAATTAATCATTGTGAGTTTATTAAAGAACTGATGGATTATTTAGAGTTTCTGTATTTTGGAAAAGGGAATGTTTCTCATATTTATGAAGTGTGTAAAACATTCTACCATGCAGAGAAACAAGATAAGTCCCTTATAGCTTATTTTATAGAGTTTAAGAAGACTTATGAAGTGTTGAACATGTTGCTACACTTCAGTGCTGATGTAAATGTTCAACAAAAACAACGGGAGCAAATGGCAATCATGAGTTTTCTTGTAGGTCTTCATTCTGAATTTGAGACTGCTAAGTTTTAGGTTCTAGCCAGTCCAGAGATCTTTTCATTGTAGGATTTCTTGAGTAGGGTACTTTGCATGGAAGGTACCACACCGGTTCAGTTCAGTGGTGCTCTCGTCAGTCAAAAGAATGACTATGAATCTAGACGATCACAATTTGGAAGTGGCAACAAATGAGGGGGGTCAAATAGTAATATGGGAGGAATTGTGTGTCACTATTGCCATAAGCCAGAACACATGAAGCGCGATTGTAGAAAGCTTCAGAACAGAACTAAAAGAAATCTCTCTGCCCATGTTGCATCCACTAATGATACTTCTGATCAGTCAGTGCTCATCTCTGTAGATGAATTTGCCAAGTTTTCATTGTACCAGGAATCATTAAAGGCTTCATCTACTCTTGTCATGGCTATGGCTGACTCAGGTAAGCCAAATACATGTCTCCTTTCCTCATCCTCTAAATTCGTCATTGACTTTGGTGCAACAGATCACATGTCAAGTAATCCCAGTCTCTTTGCTAAATATCAATCAAAAACCCTTTCAAATGTGACTTTAGCAGATCACCATCCTACATTCTTGGGTCTGGCACAGTTACCCCTATTCCACAACTTCCCTTATCAAATGTCTTACATTTACTAGATTTTTCTTTCAATTTGGTTTCTATTAGCCAACCTACTCGTGCTCTTACTGTTGTGTTTTATTTTTTCCCGATTATTGCTTGTTTCAAGATCTTACGATGAAGAAGATTATTGGTAAAGGACATGAATCTGGAGGTTTATATATTCTTGACAGACCAAAATCTACACATGTCGCTTGTTCTAGTGTTGCACCCTGGTTTTAAGCACATTGTCATTTGGGTATCCATCTCTTCCTTCACTGAAAAAATTGTGTCCTCAGTCTAATAAAGTGTCTACATTAGAGTGTGAGTCATGTTAGTTTACTAAACATCATCGTGTCAATTCTAGTCCTAGAGTAAAAAAAAGAGCTAATTCTCCTTTTGAATTAGTTCACTCTGGTGTTTGGGGTCCCTGTCCAGTTTTGTCTTAAACTGGTTTTAGATATTTTGTTACATTTGTGGACGATTACTCTCGTATGACATGGTTATTCTTAATGAAAAATCGTTCTGATTTGTTTTCTTATTTCTGTGCTTTTTGTGCTGAGATTAAAACTCAATTCAATATTTTTGTTCATACGTTGCGCAGTGATAATACAAAAGAATATCTGTCAGTTTCTTTTGAAAATTACATGACTCAGAATGACATTTTTCATCAAACTTCATGTGTTGATACTCCATCTCAAAACGGAATAGCAGAACGGAAAAACATACATCTTCTTGAAACTGTCAGAGCCTTATTATTCCAAATGAATGTTCTTAAACCATTTTGGGCTGATGTAGTTTCCACCGCCTGCATCTTGATTAACCGCATGTCGTCTTTTGTCCTTCATGGTGAGACCCCGTACAATATTCTTTTTCCTAGCAAAGCAATATTTCCTCTTGAACCTAGGATATTTGGTAGCACTTGCTTTATTCGGGATGTTTGACAGTCAGTTACCAAATTAGATCACAAGTCATTAAAATGTGTATTTCTTGGTTATTCTCGACTTCAAAAAGGATATGGGTGATATTGTCCTAGTTTTAATAAGTATCTTGTTTCCATTGATGTTGCCTTTCTAGAAGAAACACCATACTTTCTATCTTCTCATGCAGATCGTCAGAAGGATGATGATTTGTTAGTTTATACCTTCACCACCCCTGTACCTATATCTGAACCAGCTCCTCTCTCTAGCCCTGTCACCCTTCTTACGCTTCCTGCATCTGCTCTAATCTCTGATCCTACTCCTATCAAAGTCTACTCTTATCGTCCACCTTCTCCTGCTTCATGTCTGGCACCAACTTCTTCGTCATCAGATCCAGTTTCAAGTGATGATCTTCCTATTGCATTGTGAAAAGGTAAACGGCAGTGTACTTATCCTGTTTCTTCTTTTGTTTCTTATGATCATTTGTCACCTTCATTATGCTTCTTCATTGCTTCCTTTGATTATATTACTATCCCTAAAACTGTTCATGAAACCCTTTCTCATCCTGGTTGGTGTAATGCGATAATAGAGGAGATGAATGCCTTAGATGACAATGGTACTTGGGAATTGGTAGATTTACCTTCAGGGAAACAGGCTATTGGATGCAAATGGGTGTTTAAAGTTAAAGTTAATCCAGATGGGTCAATTGCTCGGCTAAAAGCTCGTTTGGTTGCTGAAAGATATGCTCAAACCTACGGAGTTGATTATTCTGATACTTTTTCCCTTGTTTCTAAGTTAACCTCTATTCGACTATTTATCTCTATGGCAACTACTTATAATTGGCCTTTGCATCAGCTAGGCATAAAAAATGCTTTTCTTCACGGAGATCTTCAAGAAGAGGTATATATGTAGTAACCTCCTAGGTTTGTTGCTCAGGGGGAGTATGGGAAAGTATGTTATCTTTGCAAATCTATGTATGGTTTAAAACAGAGTCCTCGTGCTTGGTTTGGAAAGTTTATTCAGGCTGTTGAGTGATTTGGTATGCTGAAATGTAAAACTGACCATTCTATTTTCTACAAACGGTCTAAAACTGGCATCATTCTTCTAATTGTGTATGTAGATGATATTGTTATTACTGGGAGTGATAGTGTGGCATCACATCTCTTAAGTCTTTTCTCCATACCCAGTTCCACACAAAAGACTTAGGATATTGAAGTATTTCTTGGGGTTGAAGTTACAAGGAGCAAACGAGGTATATTCCTCTTTCAGAGGAAATATGTGCTTGACTTATTAACTGAGACAGGGAAATTAGGGGCAAAGCCATGTAGTACTCCGATAGTTCCTAATGTGCAGCTTACAAAAGATGTTGAACTATTTGGAGATCTTGAGAAATATAGAAGATTGGTCGGGAAGTTGAACTATCTTATGGTGACTCGTCTAGATATTGCATATTCAGTAAGTGTTGTAAGTCAGTTTATGGCCTCCCCAACAGTTCATCATTGGGCAACTTTAGAGTAGATCTTGTGTTATTTGAAAAGAGCCCCTAGACGTGGTATATTATATGCCAATCATAGTCACTCTCATATTGAATGTTTCTCAGATGCAGATTGGGCAGGTTCCAAGGTAGATAGAAGTTCCACATCAGGCTATTGTGTCTTTGTCAGAGGAAATTTAATATCATGGAAGAGCAAGAAGCAGAATGTCATGTCACGATCAAGTGCAGAGTCGGAATATAGGGCTATGGCACAAGCTGTTTGTGAAATAATGTGGATATATCAGCTCCTGACTAAAATAGGCCTTGAAACTTCAGTACCAGCAAAATTATGGTGTGATAACCAAGCGACTTTTCATATTGCATCAAATCCAGTGTTTCATGAACGAACGAAACACATTGAGATCGATTTCCATTTAGTTCATGAGAAACTACAATAAGGTATGGTTTCCACTGGGTACGTGAAGACTGGAGAACAATTGGGAGATATCTTCACGAAGGCTCTGACTAGGATTCGAGTTGATTATCTTTGTAACAAGTTGGGTATGATTAATATCTATACTCCAGCTTGAGGGGGAGTGTTACAGATGTATATTTGGTAGTTATAGGTTGCATATATTTAGAAGTTAATTTCCAGGATTATAATATTCATTCTTAATACTTGTTACAATATGAAAATATTAAGATAACATTCTTCAACTTTTCTCAAATCTCAAGTATTTCTATCTCAATAAGCTATGTCATTGATCAATTTCATGATAATGAGTTTTTGCAGTAACTATGGTTGCCAAACTAGTAAAAAAAACACTAGGTTGACTTGACTAGTAGATATTATAGTCTATCAAGAGCTCAAGACTCATAAGTCAAATAGTGATCCAGCTCCAGTGGCTGCTGGCTTCTATAGATTGTACTTTATCTTTGCTCTCACTTCCATTTTAATTGATTTACTGTTGGCCTTTTCAATTTAATGTATAGCCCTTTGCAGACGTAAAAATCTACCTGTACGGAAGGGGGGTCTGATCCCATGAGGTTGAGGCCACTAGCGATCCGCTACACCTGCACACATAGAGAAACAAGCGTGAAGTGAACGGAAAACACGGGGTGGTGTTTGCCGTAGGCACTCCGATGCTCAAGTCAGCAAGGCTGAAAGAGGCTAGTATAGTGAGGGCTAGGGAGTAGAGACATTACCGAAAGTCTAGTCGGGGACTATGACTACGACAGTGATGTGAAGCTCTCAAGTAGGAGCCTCTAGTGTGAAGGTGTAATGTAATGTAAATCCCTTGTGAGAGGGCTAGCCTCTGCTTATATAGTGACTGTCTAGTCTCCCAGTCCTGGTGGAAGTAGGAGTCATAGTGTGACTCGGATACAAACCTTAGAGGACTTAGGGCGGTGTTGAGTTGTCTTACCAGTGTTCGAATATGAAGGTGATCCCGAACAAGAAAGTAACCTCAAGTAGGAAAGTGACCTGAACAAGAAGGTGACCTCGAATAGAAGACTGATCTGGAATAGGAAAGTGATATGTGGGTGCCGTGGGCTCTAGACTTGCTCATAGGTCCAGGAAGTGAACTGGGATTTGGAGGCCCGGACCTGATGGTTTGGGCCGACTGTATCTCGTATCAAATGGGCCTAATCCGGATGGGGCCGCATCGGGATTGGGCCTGGTTTCTTCCTCATTCAGTCCCGTTCTCCTATTTGAACTAAGGACGATTTTTGGCCCTAACACCCTTTATTAATTAATATTACATTAAATGCATTTTCAAGAGTACAGCCAAGCATCCTCTCTGTGTATTTACATAACATTGCATTTTGGGAAAAAGAACTGAAAGATGACAGTAGCGATCGATCGTTCTACAACAACGGACATGGGGTAGTTGTGATACTTAAAAGAGGTGGAGCCATTTTAAACAGTCATTGTTCTTCCATTTTAACCATACATTCCACCACTTATAATTTCATCAGTAAAACAGGATTCGGCAAAAGAAAATTAAGCTCTTACAATTTGCACAGATCTCCAGCAGAGTAATAATGAATTTGACAAAAAAATTAACAGATTCTTTCTTGGTTATGGTTAATGAAAGGTATTCTCTGCATATATTTATTAATTTAAAGTAAGATTAAGTAGCTAACAATAAAACGCACTTTATATGGTAGCTAGCTTCCTGAAGAAAAACGTTGCAGTATGGAGCTACCAACATTAATTAAGTTGAAAATTGTTGGTGACATTTCCAGAGAATTATAGGTAAGACTGTGATGCGGGTGCAGTTAGTTAGGTTAGAACATTTCTTTCAAGCTACCTAATGGCTATTTTTTGAGTTTGTTTTTCACCAATCACCATTAGCTTTATGAGGTTTTGTGTGCTACGCTACATATACCTACTGAGTGGATTTTGAGCCGACTCATTAATTAATTGAAGAATATTAGAAAATTAATTTTCTATTAAAATATTAATTTTGGTTCATAAAAGGTAGTGTGTCAAATGCTAAATAACAAGTCAATTAGGGCGTGGATTACTTGTGAAAGTTGATGTTATGCGTACTGATGCAGTTTTTAATTTAATTTTCAGATTTATATATATGAAAGTACTCATTACAGTGACCATATATATCTTTATGGTTAGCGGTTATGAATCGATCAGCAATAACTTAATCTTATCTTATATTGTAATCAAAGATATATTTTAGATGACTGAGTGTGTATGTGTATATCAAAACTTAATGTTTTGACTTTATATTCTTAATTAATTCATTTGAACTTGTTTTAGGCGTGCCTGATAAGAAGTTTAGAAAGTCATTCCAATATTCACTATATACTATATATAACTGACTGCAATCTTCAATAAACACGTTTACATATGAGAGAAAATTCTCTCATATATGTATTAGGAATAGTTCTTCAAATCTTAATAATTAATATTGCTGATAATTTTTAAAATGATCGTATAATTATAAAAATTTATTATTTTGATGTATAAATGATGTAATATATTAAAATGATTATCTTAGCATCTTAAGTGCACTGGTCATTCATTTAATTTACATGAGAGGGCATTTGATTAAGAGAATGTTGTATTATTGAGAATGTTATTTAGGGGGCGTTTGGTTGAGGGTTATGTGAGATTATTAGGGTAATGTCATCTTATATTACTTGATTACCATGTTTGGTTGTCAAATAATATAAGATACCGATAATCTTCAAATACCAATAGTGGTTACTATTGAGATAACCTGATTACCTCAATTTTCTTAGGTATTCTGAGATTACCAAGGTTATCTTTTTTTGTTACAATTTTATCCCTTATTAATAAAAATTTTGAACAATAATACCCCTACTTTAAAACAAATTTACATTAATATCCTATTTCAATTTTACCCTTGTTTAATTAAAATTTTGGACAATAATGCCCTTATATTTAAAATAATTTATAGACCACCAATGCCACCCAACCACCACCACCACTGCCACCCAGCCACCACCATTGACAGCGGGCCAACCACCATGGGCTCCCGCCGGAAAATCACCGAAGTCCCCAAAAAAGAACAAGATTCGGTGGGAGACTCCGAGAGGCTTCGATATGGCTGTTTTCGGCCATATCGGGCCAGATTGATGGAACTAGCCGAAAATGGCCAGAATAGATCTGGCCTGATATGGCCGTTTTCGGCTGATATGGACATTTTCGGCCGATATAGCCGTTTTCGGCCATCAATATGGCTAGAAACGGCAATATCGGAGCCTCTTGGTCACGATGAGGTACTCACGGGGACTTTGGAGACTTCCGGCGGTGGTTTGCAGTGGCGGCAGGAGGTGGGGATGATTTCGTCATAAATTTAAGTTTTATATAAGCGGCGGTGTTTTAGCTAAATCTGAAATGTTGGGGGTTAAAAGAAATTATTCAAAAATTAATAATAAAAATAATATTATATTAATATTTAAAAAGAGGGCAATTTAGTAAGTTAAATAACATACCCACCAATTTATTCCCTATAACTAAACATATTAATATAACATACCCACCAACTAACCAAACACATTTTCTTAAAGATTCCCAGTAATCTTCCAAGGTAATTTATCTTTCCAATAATCCAATATTCCCAATAATCTAACATTCTTGAACCAAACGCCCCCTTAAAGTACCTTGAAAAATTATTGGGAATGTTAATAAATGTGTTTGGTTATGAAGAATAAATTGGTGGGTATGTTATATTGATATGTTTGATTGAGAGGAATAAAAATTGGTGGGTATGTTATGTTATATAAATTATTGAATTGCTTTTTTTTTTTTTTAATATTATTATTATATCATTATTTACTATTTTTTTAACCCCCTACATTTAAAATTTATCTAAAACACCCCCATAATAAAAGTTTAAAATTAATGAAGACACACCTACCCACCCAACATGTCTGTTGTCGGCTACCAAACGGCAAATGGTCTAAATAGATCTGGCCATTTTCGACTATAGATGTGGCTGAAAATGGTCATATCGGCGCACAGTTGGCCAAATCCAGAACAATGTCGACCGTTGGCAGTGGTGGTTAGATCCTACCACAGTCATGCATAATAGTTTTCAAGTTCACGGGTGTTTTTGTCTTAAAAATTTTGTATATACGGATAAAATAGTCCTTGAATTTTTTTGTAAATTTTTTTTTTCAAAACAAGGGTATTAGTGTCCAAAAATTTTAATGGTTAAGGGTAAAATTGTAACAAAATTAAGATTATCAAGTAATCTTAAAATACTTAAGAAAATAAAATAGATTAGTGCATCTCCAAATGACTCTTTATATGACCAAAACTCTTTATTATAAAGAGTCTATCCATAAAAACAAGAGTCCAATTGACTTTTTATCTTTAAAATATAAATTAGAGAGTGAGTTTGACTCTCTACATTTAGAGAGCCAAATTTCACTCTCTATCCTATTTTTAATTAATAAACTACAAGTTCCTATACATTTTATTTATTATTTCTTTCTCACATTAAGTTTATTTCTTAAAAATAAAGAGCATTTTCATTAAATTTAAAGAGTCTATTGGATTTGAATAAAAATTGTATTATTTATATTTAAAAATTAATGAAGATGCTCTTTATTTATATGAAATATGTTCTTTAAAAATAAAGAGTATCATTAAAAATATTCTTACTTCCTATATTATCAACAATAATTACTATTAGTTTTGAAAAATTACTAGAATTGAATATTACTTGACATTACTTTAACAATGGGAGATTATCCGGAACCAAACACATTGGGAGAGTTTTCTCAGGAGTTTATCCACATCGAACAGGGGGCACGGCCTGGTGACGTTCCATGCACGGTCTGACAACAGACAATTTAATATATGTGATTAAATTAGTGTCATTGTTTTCTCTTGGTAAACTGTTCAAATCCTTTAGTTTCCAACTTTGAAACAAAGTATTGTGTTCGACAATGTATAATTTACGCATATAGTATAAAAAGAATTTGCTCAATAGAAACATGGAAAAAGAATTACACTTGGATTAAACTTAACAGACTATGAAATATATATTTCTTATAATTTTTTTAAAAATATATTAACACTTATGGATTATGCCGTATCTCTAAACCTTTTGACTTTTAGAAATTAGCTTCTCCTTCAAACATGCGAGAGTGAGAGCGACATGATAACAAACAGTCAAGTCAA